TCTCACGATACATGGCCCCATCCATCCTCCCCTCAATACGGTGCTTACGGTGCAGTCGTCCTGTCCCCTTTGCAGAAAAGCATCCCCAAAGAATGATGTTTCCACCTCCAAACTTCACGGTTGGGATGGTGTTCTTGGGGTTGTACTCATCCTTCTTCTTCCTCCCAACATGGCGAGTGGACCACATGACCTTCTCCCATTCCTCCTCTGGATCATCCAGATGGTCATTGGCAAAATTCAGACGGGCCTGGACATGCGCTGGCTTGAGCAGGGGGACCTTGCGTGCGCTGCAGGATTTTAATCCATGACGGCGTAGTGTGTTACTAATGGTTTTCTTTGAGACTGTGGTCCCAGCTCTCTTCAGGTCATTGACCAGGTCCTGCCGTGTAGTTCTGGGCTGATCCCTCACCTTCCTCATGATCATTGATGCCCCACGAGGTGAGATCTTGCATGGAGCCCCAGACCAAGGGTGATTGACCGTCATCTTGAACTTCTTCCATTTTCTAATAATTGCGCCAACAGTTGTTTGCCTTCTCACCAAGCTGCTTGCCTATTGTCCTGTAGCCCATCCCAGCCTTGTACAGGTCTACAATTTTATCCCTGATGTCCTTACACAGCTCTCTGGTCTTGGCCATTGTGGAGAGGTTGGAGTCTGTTTGATTGAGTGTGTGGACAGGTGTCTTTTATACAGGTAACGAGTTCAAACAGGTGCAGTTAATACAGGTAATGAGTGGAGAACAGGAGGGCTTCTTAAAGAAAAACTAACATGTCTGTGAGAGCCAGAATTCTGAATGGTTGGCAGGTGATCAAATACTTATGTCATGCAATAAAATGCAAATTAATTACTTAAAAATCATACAATGTGATTTTCTGGAATTATTTTTAGATTCCGTCTCTCACGGTTGAACTGTACCTATGATAAAAATTACAGACCTCTACATGCTTTGTAAGTAGGAAAACCTGCAAAATCGGCAGTGTATGAAATACTTGTTCTCCCCACTGTAGGTGTTCCTTTTGTCCAGGTGGTAAAGGGCAGTGTGGAGTGCAATTGAGATTGTGTCATCTGTGGATCTGTTGGTGCGGTATGCGAATTGGAGTGGGTCTAGGGTTTCCGGGATGATGGTGTTGATGTGAGCCATGACCAGCCTTTCAAAGCACTTCATGGCTACAGACGTGAGCGCTACGGGGTGGTAGTCATTTAGGCAGGTTACCATGGCGTTCTTGGGCACAGTGAAGACACTTCCCAGTTGTTCCGCGCATGCTCTGAGTACACGTCCTGGTAATCCGCCCTGCGACCTTATGAATGTTGACCTGTTTTAAGGTCTTCCTCACATCGTCTATGGAGAGTGTGATCACACAGTCATCCGGAACAGCTGGTCCCGCTCCTTGAAAGCGGCAGTTCTAGCCTTTAGCTCAGTGTGGATGTTGCCTGTAATCCATGGCTTCTGGTTGGGATATGTACGCATAGTCGCTGTGGGGACGACGTCATCGATGCACTTATTGATGAAGCCGGTGACTGATGTGTTATACCCCTCAATACCATCGGATGAATCACGGAACATATTCCAGTCTGTGCTAGCAAAACAGTCCTGTAGCTTAGCATCCGCGTCATCCAACCACTCCCGTATTGAGCGAGTCACTGGTACTTCCTGCTTTAGTTTTTGCTTGTAAGCAGGAATCAGAAGGACAGAATTATGGTCAGATTTGCCAAATGGAGGGCGAGGGAGAGCTTTGTACCCGTCTCTGTGTGTGGAGTAAAGGTGGTCTACAGATTTTTTCCCTCTGGTTTAAGTTTTTCTGCATTAAAGTCCCCGGCCACTAGGAGCCACCGCTTCTGGATGGTTTTATTGTTTGCTTATGGCCTTATACAGCTTGTTGAGCGTGGTCTTAGTGCCAGCATCGGTTTGTGTTGGTAAATAGACAGCTACTAAAAATATAGATGAAATAAGTTTCATTGTCATTATCTTCATTGTAATGACATGCTTGAATAATATAGGACTAGGATAAGATGCAGATGACTTTCATGCATAACCCATCATTCATTATCCAAGTAGAAGGCTAATACTGCATTGAATTTATTACCTGAACGAGGTAGGCTAGGACATCTATATATAGGCTAGGACATCTACAGTGCATTCGGAAACTATTCAAACCCCTTCCCCTTTTCCACATTTTGTTACGTTACAGCCTTATTCTAAAATGGATTAAATAATTTCCCCCCCTCATCAATCTATACACAATACCCTATAATGGCAAAGCAAAAACAGATACCTTATTTACATAAGTATTCAGACCCTTTGCTATGAGACTCAAAAATTCACCTCAGGTGCATCCTGCTTCCATTGATCGTCCTTGAGATTTTTCTACAACTTGATTGGAGTCCACCTGTGGTAAATTCAATTGATTGGACATGATTTGGAAAGGCACACCTGTCTATAAGGTCCCACAGTTGACAGTGCATATCAGAGCAAAAATCAAGCCATGAGGTTGAAGGAATTTTCCGCTCCGAGACAGGATTGTGTCGAGGCACAGATCTGGGGAAGGGTACCAAAACATTTCTGCAGCGTTGAAGGTCTCCAAGAACACAGTGGCCTCCATCATTCTTAAATGGAAGAAGTTTGGAACCACCAATATTCTTCCTAGAGCTGGCCACCTGGCCAAACTGAGCAATCGGGGGAGAAGGGCCAAGAACCCGATGGTCACTCTGACAGAGCTCCAGAGTTCCTGTGTGGAGATGGGAGAACCTTCCAGAAGGACAGCCATCTCTGCAGCACTTACAAAAATGTCTACAAACCTGTTTTTGCTTTGTCATTATGGGGAATTGCGTGTAGATTGATGTGGGGAAAAAACTATTGAATGCATTTGCGAATAAGTCTGTAACATAACAAAATGTAGAAAAAGTCAAGATGTCTGAATACTTTCCGAATGCACTAAAGATAAACTTTACCAAGCATAGCCTAGGCCCTCTATCTCTGCAGTGTTCGTACGTGTAAACATCCTACCCTGTTCTCCCTTATCCCTGATTAGCTGCTGTAGTTGTTGGGTGTTTTAGTTTCTCAATAAAAACATTGGCCTGGTTAATTACTCACCATTCATTGGCCTTGATGCCTTAGACGTGGATAAGAGTTTTCTGTGTGTAGGGTGACCGCATTTAAAATACCCAAATGTGTGACAAAGGAATGATTTTGCGGGACATTAGTAGGACAGTGTACCCTACATGAATACATTTTTGGCAGCACCTCATATATTTTCAGTCTAATACAGCTATTTACTTACGTTTGTAGCGCTTTATCAGAAGCTTTTTGTAAGTAGTTAACTGTCCTCTCCAAGTTTAGCTGGAATTTGGACCGAAAGGATTTGACTAATGTGATTGGTTGATGATATGACATTGGTCTACGTCTCGTCTTGCGCAGCGCAGAATATCAGATATCAACAATGATTGGAGACGTGTTTAACAACACCAGTACCACATCCTTATGATATATACTCAGTGGACAGTTTATTAGGTACACCATCCCGTTCACAGAAATGGTTCACTCCTACAGACAGTGAGTCACGTGGCCGTGGCTTGCTATATAAAGCAGGCAGACAGGCATCGAGGCATTCAGTTACTGTTCGATTGAACGTTAGAATGGGCAAAACAAATGACCTAAGCGACTTTGAACGTGGTATGAACGTCGGTGCCAGGCACGCCGGTTCCAGTATCTCAGAAACGGCCGGCATCCTGAGCTTTTCACGCCCGACAGTGTCTAGGGTTTACAGAGGATGGTGCGACAAACAAAAAACATAAAGTCAGCGGCAGACCTGTGGGCGAAAACAGCTCATTGAGAGGTCGAAGGAGAATGGCAAGAATCGTGCAAGCTAAAAGGCGGGAAAAGGAAAATAACTGTTACGGCATCTCGGAATGCACAACTCGTCGGTCCTTGTCACGGATGGGCTATTGCAGCAGACTACCACACCAGGTTCCACACCTATCAGCTAAAAACAAGAAGAAGCGGCTCCAGTGGGCCCACGATCACCAATACTGAACAATTGAGGAGTGGAAAAACATTGCCCGGTCTGACGAATCCCAGTTCCTGTTGTACAGTTAGGATTTGGCAGAGTCAGGATTTGACATGAACAGCATGAGTCCATGGCCCCATCCTTCCTGGTGTCAACGGTTGTCACAAGAATTTTGTTATCACAATGGTTGAAGTCAACTACTTCTTAAATATCTGAATAATTCCCAAAAGGTTGTAAATCTCTTAGTTTAAATAAATTAAACAAAGACTCAATCCTGCAATGGTCAGCATATTTATTCATGAGAGCGCTCTGAAACAAAATGGTCGTACAACATTTTTATACGCACACGTCAGAGGAAAAATCCCACCCCTCTTTAGGCAGGCTGTAGTTTTACACTGGAAAACTGCTCTCCTGACCATCAGGTCACACACACACACATAAACACATACACACACACACATACACACACACATACACACACACACATGAACTCTTCCAAGCCTAACGGTTTCTCTCCTCCCTAAATTGGGAGGCCTCTTTATCTTGGTTTCTCAGTTGTCTGTAGACAGTTCTCCTTGTCCTTTGTTGTCTGGTCTAACTCCTACTCAAATTGCTAAATAGTAACACAATGTCATAATCTTTACTGGTCCTACACACACACACATTATTAGATTATAGTCTCAGGATTCTAACAGTGTAATAATTAGTGTAATTAGTGTAGTGTACACTGGAGAGTGTAATAATTAGTAATTACCTAATTATTCTATCAACAGTACAGGCTGATGGTGTAATGGTGTGGGGTATGTTTTCCTGGCACACGTTAGGTCCCTTGATACCAATTGAGCAATATTTCCATGCCCCGAAGAATCACGCGCCAATATTCATAGACACACCCGTGTGGTTCTACGAGACCACACACACACACACACACACACACACACACACACACACACACACACACACAGCTATTCTGACAGCAGTTTTTAGTGTATGACCCCATGTCACCTGTGTGTGTGACAGGTGCGAGTGACGATGCGGTGAGCTGTGCGGTGATGTTGGAGGTGCTTCACTCCCTGGCCAACCTCTCCACTCCCTTAAGACACGGGGTGGTGTTCCTCTTCAATGGAGCAGAGGAGACCATGATGCAGGTGTGAGAGAGAAACTGGGGACAGTAGTGAACACAGGACAGGCAGTTGGGAGGTCAACTAAGAGGAAATTCACAATCACATTTCGACTTAAGTTTCAGCCAGAATCATAAATGCTATTCCTCTTTTGTGCAAGGACACTTTTGTTCTTTGTAATATGGAATTCAATGACGTAATATGGAATGTGAAATATTCTATACTCTCTATCTATGTTAGGCGAGTCATGGCTTCATCACTCAGCATCCCTGGGCCAAGCAGGTCCGAGCCTTCATCAACCTGGAGGCAGCGGGGGTGGGGGGCAAAGAGTTGGTGTTCCAGACAGGTAGGTGGACACATCTTTATTAGGGCACACCGCAGCGAAACGTTTTGCAACTGCAAACACAAAAGGGATTTCTAATTGGACAAGTTCAGGTGGTTCAGTTAAAATCAAATCAACGTTTATTGGTCGCTTACATAGTTTAGCAGATGTTATAGTGGGTGCACGAAATGCTTATATTACTAGCTCCTAATAATGCAGTAAAATGTCAAACATGTACACAAATAAGGGGTCCCGAGTGTCTAAAGCACTGCATTGCAGACTCTGGTTAGATCCCAGGCTGTGTCACAGCCGGCCGTGACCGGGAGCCCCATGGGACGGAGCACAATTGGACCAGGGTCGTCCAGGTTAGGGGAGGGTTTGGCCGGCCAGGATTTCCTTGTCTCATCGTGCTCTAGCAATTCCTTGTGGCGGGCTGGGCACCTGCAAGCTGACTTCGGTCGTCAGTTGGACGGTGTTTCCTCTGACACATTGGTGCGGCTCGCTTCCGGGTTAGGCGAGCAGTGTTTCGGAGGACGCATGGCTCTTGACCTTCGCCTCTCCCGAGTCCGTAGGGGAGTTGCAGCGATGAGACAAGATTGTAACTACCAATTGGATACCACGAAATTGGGGAGAAAACGTGGGTAAAGTGTATATATTTATTTCTACTAACAAATAATTAAAATGTTTAAAAAAGTACACACAAAAACGAAATCAAGATCGTCGGGACAAATTCAATTAACAACACAGTTCAGATGTTTCAGTCAGTATTCTTCCATTTGGTGCCTAATGAACATGACTCTGGACCTGCTGGACCTGGGCCAATTAGAACAGATTTATATACAGTACCAGTCAAAAGTTTGGACCCACCTACTCAGTCCAGGGTTTTTCTTTATTTTTTACTATTTTCTACATTTTAGAAAAGTAGTGAAGACATCAAAACTATGAAATAACACATATGGAATCATGTAGTAACCAAAAAAGTGTTAAAGAAATTCTTCAAAGTAGTCACCCTTTGCCTTGATGACCGGTCTAATGTCCATTGCTCATGTTTCTTGGCCCAAGCAAGTCTATTCTTCTTATTGGTGTCCTTTAGTAGTGGTTTCTTTGCAGCAATTCGACCATGAAGGCCTGATTCACGCAGTCTCCTCTGAACAGTTGATGTTGAGATGTGTCTGTTACTTGAACTCTGTGAAGCATTTATTTGGGCTGCAATCTGAGGTGTAGTTAACTCTAATGAACTTATCCTCTGCAGAGCAGAGGTAACTCTGGTTCTTCCTTTCCTGTGGCGGTCCTCATGAGAGCCAGTTTCATCATAGTTCTTGAAATGTTCCGTATTTGTCTTTGCTTATTTGAGCTATTCTTGCCATAATATGGACTTGATCTTTTACCAAATAGGGCTACCTTCTGTATACCACCCCTACCTTGTCACAACACAACTGATTTGCTCAAATGCATTAAGAAGGAAAGAAATTCCACAAATTAACTTTTAACAAGGTACACTTGTTAATTGAAATGCATTCCAGGTGTCCAAACTTTTGACTGGTACTGTAGGTGTCTGTGTCTCTGAATCAGCAGCTGAACAAGCCTTCTTGCCGCTCAGAGGACAGAATATAGTTGTGTTGCACAATACAGCCTGGCAAAAATGCAAATGACCCCATAAATGTCAGCTTGAGGAGAGGTGTTTTAGGATTGTTTTTGTATCCTTTAAAGCAGGGTTTTTTGGTAAAATCACCAGGAATTAAGCTACAAATGAGGATAGATGGCAGCATTCACGCCAATCTGAAAGCGCAAACCACCTCATTCAACCATGGCAAAGTGACTGGGAATATGGCAGAATACAAACAGTGTAGCTACTCACTCCGCAAGGCAATTAAACTAGCAAAACATCAGTATAGAGACAAAGTGGAGTCGCAATTCAACGTCTCAGACGCGAGACGTATGTGGCAGGGTCTACAGACAATCACGGACTACAAAAGGAATACCAGCCACGTTGCCGACACCGATGTCTCGCTTCCAGACAAGCTAAACACCTTCTTCGCCCGCTTTGAGGATAACACAGTGCCACTGACGAGGCCCACTACCAAGGACTGCGGCCTCTCCTTCTCCGTGGCCGACGTGATTAAGACATTTAAGCATGTTAACCCCCGCAAGGCTGCCGGCCCAGATGTCATCCCTAGCCGCGTCCTCAGAGCATGCGCAGACCAGCTGGCTGGTGTGTTTATGGACATATTCAATCTCTCCCTTTCCCAGTCTGCTGTTCACACATGCTTCAAGATGGCCACCATTGTTCCTGTACCCAATAAAGCAAAAGTAACTGAACTAAATGACTATCGCCCTGTAGCACTCACCTCTGTCATCATGAAGTGCTTTGAGAGACTAGTCAAGGATCATATCACCTCTACCTTACCTGTCACCCTAGACCCACTTCAATTTGCTTACCGCCCCAATAGATCCACAGACGATGCAATCGCCATCACACTGCACACTGCCCTATCCCATCTGGACAAGAGGAATACCTACAGTGGGGAAAAAAAGTATTTAGTCAGCCACCAATTGTGCAAGTTCTCCCACTTAAAAAGATGAGAGAGGCCTGTAATTTTCATCATAGGTACACGTCAACTATGACAGACAAAATGAGGAAAAAAAATCCAGAAAATCACATTGTAGGATTTTTAATGAATTTATTTGCAAATGATGGTGGAAAATAAGTATTTGGTCAATAACAAAAGTTTCTCAATACTTTGTTATATACCCTTTGTTGGCAATGACACAGGTCAAATGTTTTCTGTAAGTCTTCACAAGGTTTTCACACACTGTTGCTGGTATTTTGGCCCATTCCTCCATGCAGATCTCCTCTAGAGCAGTGATGTTTTGGGGCTGTCGCTGGGCAACACGGACTTTCAACTCCCTCCAAAGATTTTCTATGGGGTTGAGATCTGGAGACTGGCTAGGCCACTCCAGGACCTTGAAATGCTTCTTACGAAGCCACTCCTTCGTTGCCCGGGCGGTGTGTTTGGGATCATTGTCATGCTGAAAGACCCAGCCACGTTTCATCTTCAATGCCCTTGCTGATGGAAGGAGGTTTTCACTCAAAATCTCACGATACATGGCCCCATTCATTCTTTCCTTTACACGGATCAGTCGTCCTGGTCCCTTTGCAGAAAAACAGCCCCAAAGCATGATGTTTCCACCCCCATGCTTCACAGTAGGTATGGTGTTCTTTGGATGCAACTCAGCATTCTTTGTCCTCCAAACACGACGAGTTGAGTTTTTACCCAAAAGTTATATTTTGGTTTCATCTGACCATATGACATTCTCCCAATCCTCTTCTGGATCATCCAAATGCACTCTAGCAAACTTCAGACGGGCCTGGACATGTACTGGCTTAAGCAGGGGGACACGTCTGGCACTGCAGGATTTGAGTCCCTGGCGGCGTAGTGTGTTACTGATGGTAGGCATTGTTACTTTGGTCCCAGCTCTCTGCAGGTCATTCACTAGGTCCCCCCATGTGGTTCTGGGATTTTTGCTCACCGTTCTTGTGATCATTTTGACCCCACGGGGTGAGATCTTGCGTGGAGCCCCAGATCGAGGGAGATTATCAGTGGTCTTGTATGTCTTCCATTTCCTAATAATTGCTCCCACAGTTGATTTCTTCAAACCAAGCTGCTTACCTATTGCAGATTCAGTCTCCCCAGCCTCGTGCAGGTCTACAATTCTGTTTCTGGTGTCCTTTGACAGCTCTTTGGTCTTGGCCATAGTGGAGTTTGGAGTGTGACTGTTTGAGGTTGTGGACAGGTGTCTTTTATACTGATAACAAGTTCAAACAGGTGCCATTAATACAGGTAACAAGTGGAGGACAGAGGAGCCTCTTAAAGAAGTTACAGGTCTGTGAGAGCCAGAAATCTTGCTTGTTTGTAGGTGACCAAATACTTATTTTCCACCATAATTTCCAAATAAATTCATTAAAAATCCTACAATGTGATTTTCTGGAGAAAAAAAATCTAAATTTGTCTGTCATAGTTGACGTGTACCTATGATGAAAATTACAGGCCTCTCTCATCTTTTTAAGTGGGAGAACTTGCACAATTGGTGGCTGACCAAATACTTGTTTCCCCTACTGTATGTAAGAATGCTGTTCATTGACTATAGCTCAGCATTCAACACCATAGTACCCTCCAAGCTCATCATCAAGCTCGAGGCCCTTGGTCTGAACCCCGCCCTGTGCAACTGGGTCCTAGACTTCCTGACGGGCCGCCCCCAGGTGGTGAAGGTAGGAAACAGCATCTCCACTTTGCTGATCCTCAACACTGGGGCCCCACAAGGGTGCATGCTCAGCCCCCTCCTGTACTCCCTGTTCACCCATGACCGCGTGGCCAAGCACACCTCCAACTCAATCATCAAGTTTGCAGACGACACAACAGTAGTAGGCTTGATTACCAACAATGACGAGACCGCCTACAGGGAGGAGGTGAGGGCTCTGGGAGTGTGGTGCCAGGAAAATAACCTCTCACTCAACGTCAACAAAACAAAGGAGATGATCGTGGACTTCAGGAAACAGCAGAGGGTGCACCCCCCTATCCACATCGACGAGACAGCAGTGGAGAAGGTGGAAAGCTTCAAGTTCCTTGGCGTACACATCACCGACAAACTGAAATGGTCCACCCACGCAGACAGTGTGGTGAAGAAGGCACAACAGAGCCTCTTCAATCTCAGGAGGCTGAATAAATTTGTCTTGGAACCTAAAACCCTCACAAACTTTTACAGATGCACAATTGAGAGCATCCTGTGGGGCTGTATCACCTGGTACGGCAACTGCACCGCCCGCAACCGCAGGGCTCTCTAGAGGGTGGTGCGGTCTGTCGAAGGCATTATCAGGGGCAAACTACCCGCCCTCCAAGACACATACAGCACCCGATGTCACAGGAAGGCCAAAAAGATAATCAAGGACATCAACCACCCGAGCAACTGCCTGTTCACCCCGTTATCATCCAGAAGGCGAGGTCAGTACAGGTGCATCAAAGCTGGGACCGAGAGAATGAAAAACAGCTTCTATCTCAAGGCCATCAGACTGTTAAATAGCCATCACTAGCACATTAGAGGCTGCTGCTGCCTATTGAAATCACTGGCCACTTTAAGAAATGGAACACTAGTCACTTTAATAATGTTTACTGTCACTTTAATAATAACATTTTATTTGATTTTAGTTTAATTTAGGAAATCTGTTTCCAAGTATTCCCACAAGTAAAAGAAAATAGACTTATGTGACCATGTCTCAATGTAGTCAGGGTATGAAATTATTGTATTTGAAAAAAACAATCTCTTTTTGGACTTTTGTCAGACCATTTGATCCGACAAAAATCGGCCCACGGCTGAATCTAGTATCCTACCCCTGCTTTAAAGGGTGAATTCTACATACAAGTTTAAAGTGATATTTTCACATCTTTTACAAGTTCCTCTTCTCTCGTCTCACCTTCATTGATACACACACACACACACACACACACACACACACACACACACACACACACACACACAGGTCCTGAGAACCCCTGGTTGATCCAGGCCTATGTCCATGCTGCCAAACATCCCTTTGCCTCTGTGGTGGGACAGGAAATCTTCCAGAGCGGGTTGATCCCATCCGACACAGACTTCCGCATCTACAGGGACTTTGGAAACATTCCAGGTAGGGTAAAGCTTCAGCATCAAGTCTTCAGGTAAAGTTATCAACTCTCTGACTTTAGATCTCCGCTCTGCCGTCTTGTTTTCAGTCGACTGCAGTCAGCCTTCACTTTATTTGAAGCTTTGCTTTATTTGAGTTCAACATTAACGTATGAGTTACAGTGGGTTTCATAAGTATTTACCCCCCTTGGATTCCTTCACATTTTGTGTTACAAAGTAGGATTCAAATTCATTAAAACACGAATATACCTTGATTAGATAAGTATTCACCCCCCGGAGTCAATATTCGTTAGAAACACCCTTGGAAGCGATTACGGCTGTGAGTCTTTCTGGGTAAGTCTAACAGCTTTGCACAACTGCATTGTGCATTATTTGCCGGTTTTTAATTATTTTCAAAATTCTTCAAGTTCTGTCAAGGTGTTGGGGATCATGGGTAGACAGCCATTTTCAAGTCTTGCCATAGAATTTCAAGCAGATTTAAGTCAAAACTGTAACTTGGCCACTCTGGTATATTCACTGTCTTCTTGGTAAGTAACTCCAATGTAGATTTATTTTGCCTTGTGTTATAAGTTATTGTTCTGCTGAAGGGTGAATTCCTCTCGCAGTATCCTGAAAAACTCCCCAGTCTTTGCCAATGCCAAGCATACCCATACCATGTCGCAGCCACCACCATGCTTAAAAATAAGGAGGCAGTTACTCATTGATGTGTTGTGTTGGATTTGCCCCAAACATAAGGATTTGCATTTAGGCCAAAAACTGTATTCCTTTTATGTGTTTTTTTGCAGTATTACTTTAGTGCCTTGTTGATTACAGGATGCATGTTTTGGAATATTTGTATTCTGTATATTTGTATTCTTCTTTTCACTCTGCCATTTAGGTCATTACTGTGAAGTCTCTACAATGTTGATCCATCCTCAGTTTTCTCCTATCTCAGCCATTGAACTCCGTAGCTGTTTTAAAATGACCAATGGGCTCATGGTAACATCCCTGAGCAGTTCCCTTCCTGTCCTGCAGCTCAGTTCAGAAGCTATCTTTGATGTGTCTGGGTGGTTTAATACATCATCCACAGCATAATTATTAACTTGACCATGCTTAAAGAGAGATTCAATGTCTGATTTGTTATTGTTACCCATCTACCAATCACTGCCCTTCTTTATGAGGCTTTCGAAAGGCTCCCGGTTCTTTGTAGTTGAATCTGTGCTTGAAATGCAATACTTAACTGAGGGACCTATTATTTCACACAGTGAATCCATGTAACTTATTATGTGATTTGTTAAGTGAAATGTTTGACTCCTGAAATAATTTAGTCTTGCCTAAACAAAGGGGGTGAATACTAATGCAACAACTATACTTTAGTTATTACATTTTTATTAATTTGTAAACATTTGTTGAATTTCCTTTTCACTTTCACCTTCTGGAGTATTTTGTGTAGATACAATTTGAAAAAATCCAAGGGGGTGAATATTTACGATACTGTGAATATTAGTAATAGAGTTTCACCGAGACTATTGTCCGATATTTGCCTTACCGATATATCAATATCAGATGATGATTCAACCGATAACCAATATTCCATAAATAGGATGAAAAAAGGGAATTTCATGCTCATCTGACCATTTGCAGCCATTCTCATGATGTGTCATTATTGTTGTAATGTAAGAAGGCAACATTTGAAGCATATTTATTGGAGAATTGGTCATGAATGTCAATTTATGAGAATTATCAGTGTGGGAAAATGACACTTTTTCATTTCCCCACTGTAAAACAGTATATCGGTAAGTTTTGGCCTCCCAAAAATCGGAAATCAGTATCGGACCCAAGAAACCCATATCGGTCAGGCTCTAATTGTTAAGTTCCATCCCCTATACTCTCCCTGGAGTCTTTCCTCCAATGTGACTGACTCATGTCCCTCTGTGTCTGTAGGCATTGATTTAGCCTTCATTGAGAACGGCTTCATCTACCACACCAAGTACGACTCACCCGACAGGATACCTACAGACTCCATCCAGAGGGCGGGTGAGTACTTTGGGCCCTATAGCGGTGCTTCTCAGATAAGGTATAGGGCAGTTTCTCCATCACCAATCTGAGGCTGCAGGTGATGCATGTGTCAATGGGAGGGAGTCGAAGGAGACTGGTTCCATGGTGTTTGGACGGCTCAGCTGCATGGCTGGCTCAGCTTAGCTCAGCTTTGGTGGGGTTTAAGCAAGGGGTAGTGGGCTACACCTTGTTCCCAAGGTGAACCCAGCATGTCACTGCAGCAGCACTGTGCTGGCTCACATGGCAATATGCCAGACGCTGAGTTAGGAGAACAGAGCTGTGTCCTGGACGGTCACTAACGCTAGAACCCAGACCAGACAGGCAATCTACACTTCCCTCCGTCACCTTCATCCTTCTCTGTGCTCCAATTCTCAGCTCAGGCCAGACTAGGGCTTTGGAGGTCATGAAATTTTGTCTGCCGGTGATTGTCAAGCAAATAACTGCCGGTCTCAGGGTAATTGACCATTAATTAACATAAACACATTTCGCATCTCCTGGCTTCCACACATAGCCTACAAGCCACTGACCTTTGGAAGATCTACATTTTAAAAAGTCGAATAAATCCATGTAATATAGCCTACACCATCACAATAAATCCATTCTTTATTTTAGACAGGTCTAAAGAAACATGATATGAAGAAAATGTAGTCTATTTCAGAAGAACAGAATAGCATACTCTGAGTTGTCGTTATGTTAGGCCCTGATCTGGCTATGCCATATGGCTGTGGGCTACACTAGTTCATTTACCAGACAGGATTTTCTTACAATTATTTTATATAATTTTATAGTATGAAGACTACAATTGAACATAGCTGAATAAAATAGAAAGGATATTTTCTCCAAACGATTTGCAGGAGTGCGCACATGCACGTTCTGTTTTGAGCATTTAACAAAGGAACAGGTCCTCCTATATGCTTAATTTAGAGTTATTTATGCAACTTTAGTTGTGATACAAACGTTGGGCTATATGTTTTGATTTTTTTATACATTCTAAGGCAGCATGATGCGACTCTATCCAATTCCGAGGCGCATATTGAATATATTGGAAGAACTGTCCACATTAACTTTTCGTCAGCCAACAAGATGAGTAGGCCTAACGAACAGCAAAAGCACTAGCCTATGTCAATCTACTATCCCCCATAGTACAAAAGTTGACCTATTCTGTGCGAGAAAGAAATATTCCAAACATAGTCTGGGACAGTTGTGGGATGCGATAGATCCCAAATTAATACAACCACTAGCATCCCAAAAACCTTTTTTAAGCAATGAGGCTGACGCAACAGATCAGAAAGTTTAGCTTAAATGTTTTATTAACTATTAGGCTATTTCTTCACATTACCATTTCAAGCATTTCGCTACACCCGTAATAACATCTGCTAAACACGTGTATGTGACAAATAACATTTGATTTGATTATAAGCGCAGCAATGCGCACACAGCAGTAGGCTATAAGCGTGTATGTTCCAAAATACACCATTCTCAAAAGTGACTGCAAATGCGATTATGCATGTAATGCTTTTATTATATAAAGGTACATTTTTTGTGAAAATTATCTTCCCCAAACTTGAAACTCACGCGCTGCTTATGTATGCAAGTTAGGCTCTACACCCGTTGTAAAGCGGATTAATGTGCTTAATTTAAAAAGTTATTTGGCCACTTTAGTTGTGATACAGACCTTATCAAAACATAAAAGCCTATGGGCTAGGCTACATGAGGTGTGTGACTATGATTTGAAAAAGTGGCAAAAAAAGGCGTACTGCACACAAGCTGGGTAAGTGGTGGTATTTCTATGTTGGCCGGTGTGGTTCCCAATCAGAGGCAGCTGTCGCTCGTTGTCTCTGATTGGGGACCATACTTAGGCAGCCTATTGGCACTAGTGGGTTGTGGGATCTTGTTCCGTGTTAGGTATGTTGTTTGTGTACCTTGGACTTCACGTTTCGTTTCTTGTTTTGTCGTTGTGTTTATCAGTAGAATAAACATGTATGCATATCACACTGCGCCTTGGTCTGACCCGTTCATGAACGATCGTGACACACAGGAATCTTGTTATAAGATTAATTGGCAGAAGTCAGAGGCTATGCCTGTATCCAAATTATGTCCTCCTGTTGCAATGACTTAATTTCAGTTAAAATGGGTGCCATCAGGGATGAAATACCTTGGAAAGTATTCAGACCCCTTGACTTTTTCCACGTTTTGTTACATTACAGCCTTATTCTAAAATTGATTAAATAAAAACAAACCCTCAGCAATCTACACACAATACCCCATAATGACAAAGCAAAAACAGGTTTTTAGAAATGTTTTTTTTATTTTTAATAAATTAAGCAAACATTTAAAAAAAACTGTTTTTGCATTATCATTATGGGGTATTGTGTGTAGATTGATGAGGAAAAAAAAACAATTTAATCAATTTTAGAATAAGGCTGTAACCTAACAAAATGTGGAAAAAGTCAAGGGATCTGGATACTTTCTGAAGGCACTGTATATGAGAAAGGAGTGCTTACAGTGTATGTCCTATCAGGACCTGAAGGATAACCTTTATTTGCCAGATAAGGGAGATTTCTGGAAACACTTACAACTAAGGAGCTGCATGGGGTCTCTTATGAGTATTATCCTCCAGAGAGATGAAAACTTGTTAGAATAATATTTAATGTTACCAGGAATATCACACTCCGCTTCAGAATTTTATAAAATAGTCATGTATGCGCAATATGGAAACTATGAGAATTTAAGGTTGATTTGGCAGAGGGATCTTAATTGTGAAATTGAAGAGGATGTATGGAAAAATATTGTTTCCAATGTAGGGTGGTGTACCAGGGATACAAGGAGGAAATGTACACATTATAAGATTGTTCATAGGTACTATTGGACCCCAGTTAGATTACATAAAATGGGGTTATTGCAAAATAATTTATGCTGGAAATGCAAGGGTGAAGTAGGTACCTTTTTGCATGCTATATGGGAATGTCCCATGGTGCTCCCTTTCTGGAAGGAGGTTAGTAAAAAGCTTGAAGAATGGGTGGGACAGCCTATCCCAGAGTCCCCACAACTGTGCTTATTAGGGGATATACACTACATTACCAAAAGTATATGGACACATGCTCGTCGAACAGCTCATTCCAAAATCATGGGAATTAATATGGAGTTTTCCCCCCTTTGCTGCTATAACAGCCTCCACTCTTCCGGGAAAGTTTTCCACTAGATGTTGAAACATTGCTGCGGGGATTATTACTTGCTTCCATTCAGCTATAAGAGCATTAGTGAGGTCAGGCACTGATGTTGGGCAATTAGGCCTGGCTCACAGTCGGCGTTTCAATTAATCCCAAAGGTGTTTGATGGAGTTGAGGTCAGGGCTCTGTGCAGGCCAGTCAAGTTCTTCCACACTGATCTCAACAAACCATTTTTGTATGGACCTCGCTTTGTGCACGGCGGCATTGTGATGCTGAAACAGGAAAGGGCCTTCCCCAAACTGTTGCCACAAAGTTGGAAGTACAAAATCGTCTAGAATGTCATTGTATGCTGCAGCGTTTTGATTTCCCTTCCCTAAGGGGCCTAGCCCGAACCATGAAAAACAGCCACAGACCATTATTCCTCCTCCACCAAACTTTACAGTTGGCACTATGCATTCGGGCAGGTAACGTTCTCCTGGCATCCGCCAAACCCAGATTCGTCTGTCGGACTACCAGATGGTGAAGCGTGATTCATCACTCCAGAGAATGTGTTTCCGCTGCTCCAGAGTCCAATGCCACTCCAGCCGATGCTTGGCATTGCGCATGGTGATCTTAGGCTTGTGAAGCTCCCAACAAACAGTTATTGTGCTGATGTTGTTTCCAGAGGCAGTTTGGAACTCAGTAGTGAGTGTTGCAACCGAGGACAGACGCGTTTTACACGGTGCGCGCTTCAGCACTCGGCGGGCCCATTCTGTGCGCTTGTGTGGCCTACCAATTTGCGGGTGAGCCGTTGTTGCTCCTAGACATTTCCACGTCACAATAACAGCACGGGTGTGGCTGAAATAGACTAATCGACTAATTTGAAGGGGTGTCCACATATTTTGTATATATATATATAAGTCGCTCTGGATAAGAGCGTCTGCTAAATGACGTAAATGTAAATGTAAATATATATATATATATATATATATATATATATATATATATATATAGTTTATCTCTGCCTTTTCATAGAATGCAGCACACTCATGTACTGTATCTCATCCTCCGACTGATCCCTCTGTCTGTTTGTTTAATGATTGATATATTGCATTCTGTTTGCTTAGCAAATGCTTTTATTGAAAGCAATTGCTTGACTAATTATACCTGTGAATCCCTACAGCTATTCAGGCTGTTGCCTTCTAAAGGGCACATCGGCAGTATAATCCAGATGGGATTTGAACAGACAAACCCTCTGATCCATTGTTGATGTATTAAACTGCTTATCCAAATTGCCCTTGCACAAATAAATCTAATGTATGAGATATTTTACTTTACTTTACTTTACCTCCTTCCTGTACCTCTAGGTGACAACATCCTGGCAGTACTGAAGCACCTGGTCATGTCTAAGGAGCTGGCGGACTCTTCCGAGTATAGCCATGGCAACATGGTGTTCTTCGACCTGCTTGGCATGGTGATGGTGGCGTACCCGGCCCGTGTTGGCACCATCATCAACTACATGACTGCCATGGCAACCTTCCTCTACCTGTTTAAGAAGAGCTCCCATCCCAGCAACGTGGGTAAGTGGTATCATGAGCATATTGGATATTTATTCATTCATTTTTTGTGTATTTGTGTTTTTATTAAATGGATAGGACCGTGAAAAGCAGACCGAAAAGGTAGGAAGAGTGCGAGTCAGAAGGGCAGTGGTTTTGATTCGAACCCACGCCGACATGTGTTCCAGGTTCAACGGCACTTATCACTAGGTCACACATTAATACATATTTAAAGACATGACACTCGGCCCTCTAATGGGTATAGTATGTTCTATGTTTGTGAAGGATGATAATGTGGTCTAAGTGTCCGTGCAGAGCAGGTTGGTTTGGTAATGTAACGTGGATACGGGGTATTTTCTAGTGCAGTATAGCCAACACCTATGGTCGTTCGATTTACAGCACAAACAGATCTGTGAACAGGCTAGATCTTTTTCTCTAAAGTAGGTTAAAGCTGATGACGTGTGTATGTCCTTGTCTCTCTACCAGGAGGTCGTTACGTGAAGGAGCTGGCATATGCTACGGTGGTGGTCATCCTCAGCTGGTTCGTCACTCTGCTGACCGTGGTCATCATAGCCTTCGTGGTGTCACTGATGGGACGATCCATGTTCTGGTACTGCCACTTGAAACACACATTGTCTTCAGGAAATGTACCTTTTCTAGTTTATTCTGTTTTTATTTAAAAAAGCAGATTTCAACATTGAAATATAACATTGAGTATAACAAGAAAATATATATGGAAGTAGACTTATCAAATCAATATTTTTTCTGTGTGTATATTGGCTCGCCCCCACAACCCACTTCGGAGGACAACGCTATTATTTTAATAATGTTGAATATTGTCATTACATATAGAAGTACAAGTCATATAATTTTGCATAAATATTGTATTTTTTCCGTTTTCCTCTTTAGGTACAATGACTTCTACACCTGCATCTTTATGTACGGTTCTGCTGCTACTGGGACGATGGTTCTCATCCACACACTTTCCAAGAACCTCTACAATGAGGTGAGCAGCGTGTATGTGCATGTGTGTGTGTGTACATTGCATGCAGTGCGTGCCACACACCTCTTCTACGGGGTGAGCAGAGCATTCTGTCTACCTGTACATTCACAGTGGCTTAAAGTTAAAACCACAGTAAGCGTTCCTCCCACTGGGCATAAACTGGTTGAATCAACGTTGTTTCTAAGTAATTTTCTCCATATTGTGATGTGGAATCTACATGGAAAATACATTGGATTTGAAAAAAGTAATCAATGTAAACTGTTATTTTGAGGGGAAATTTCAACCACAGGATTATGTCATCATGGTAACCAAATTTCAACATAGACAAACCTTGTATAAAATATGTTGAATTTCTACCTTTAAAACAACGTCAGATCTTCAACATTATATCCACTATATAAATAAAATATAATAGGCTGGACAGCACCTCCTACTGGAGAATGTATATATCTACAGTTACCCTTTGGTCTCCCATACAGGGTTTTAACCAAGCCCAGCTTAGCTATGACACAGTGCCTTGCAAAAGTATTCACCCCCCTTGGCGTTTTTCCTATTTTGTTGCATTACAACCTGTAATTTAAATTGATTTTTATTTGGATTTCATGTAATGGACATACACAAAATAGTCCAAATTGGTGAAGTGAAATGAAAAAAAGAATTTGTTTCAAAAAATTCTAAAAAATAAATAACGGAAAAGTGGTGCGTGCATATGTATTCACCCCCTTTGCTATGAAGCCCCTAAATAAGATCTGATGCAACCAATTACCTTCAGAAGTCACATAATTAGTTAAATAAAGTACACCTGTGTGCAGTCTAAGTGTCACATGATCTGTCACATGATCTCAGTATATAAACACCTGTTCTGAAAGGCCCCAGACTTTGCAACACCACTAAGCAAGTGGTACCACCTAGCAAGCGGCACTATGAAGACCAAGGAGCTCTCCAAACAGGTCAGGGACAAAGTTGTGGAGAAGTACAGATCAGGGTTGGGTTATAAAAAAATATCAGAAACTTTGAACATCCCACGGAGCACCATTAAATCCATTATTTAAAAAATGGAAAGAATATGGCACCACAACAAACCTGCCAAGAGAGGGCCGCCCACAAACTCACGGACCAGGCAAGGAGGGCATTAATCAGAGAGGCAACAAAGAGACCAAATATAACCCTGAAGGAGATGGAAAGCTCCACAGCGGAGATTGGAGTATCTGTCCATAGGACCACTTTAAGCCGTACACTCCACAGTGCTGGGCTTTACGGAAGAGTGGCCAGAAAAAAGCCATTGCTTAAAGAAAAAAATAAGCAAACACGTTTGGTGTTCGCCAAAAGGCATGTGGGCGACTCCCCAAACATATGGAAGAAGGTACTCTGGTCAGATGAGACAAAAATTGAGCTTTTTGGCCATCAAGGAAAACGCTATGTCTGGCGCAAACCCAACACCTCTTATCACCCCGAGAACACCGTCCCCACAGTGAAGCATGGTGGTGGCAGCATCATGCTGTGGGGATGTTTTTCATCGGCAGGGACTGGGAAACTGGTCAGAATTGAAGGAATGATGGATGACGCTAAATACAGGGAAATTCTTGAGGGAAACCTATTTCAGTCTTCCAGAGATTTGAGACTGGGACGGAGGTTCACCTTCCAGCGGGACAATGACCCTAAGCAATGGCCTAGTCAAAGCCCAGACTTCAATCCAATTGAGAATCTGTGGTATGACTTAAAGATTGCTGTACACCAGTGGAACCCATCCAACATGAAGGGGGGGGGGGGGGGGGGGGGGGGGGGGGGTGATATAGTTATGCACGCTCAAGTTTTCTGTTTTGTTGTCTTATTTCTTGTTGTTTCACCCCAAAAAAATATTTTGCATCTTCAAAGTAGTAGGCATGTTGTGTAAATCAAATGATACAAACCCCCCAAAAATCCATTTTAATTCCAGGTTGTAAGGCAACAAAATAGGAAAAATGCCAAGGGGGGTGAATACTTTCGCAAGCCACTGTATTTGTCACTGACTATTACCAATGTGCTATCGTGAGAATGATTGTGAGAGATCCACTAAAAAAATATGAAAATAGATTCACTGTTGCTATCGAAGTCATTCCAAAGGGTAGGTTTAACAGACCAAATGAAATGTGACCATACTTTATCACTCATATATCATCAATGATGCTATTTAGGCCTATATAGCATTTGTAAAGTCATCAACAGCTATTGTTTCAATTCAACCCAGAAGTCAACTTAAAAAAACAATGCAATAGGCCTAGGGTTCCAAGCTCTGGTTGATTTCAAATGCAATGATATTTAGTGATATTGAATTGTGTTTGATTGTCAACGCAACCAAATATCAAAATTTGAAGGATATGTACAGTGCTATGAAAAGTTTTTGCCAGGCATTACTGGAACCATGTCATCCAAAAAGTTATACTTTTGAATCATCTGTCCATAGAACGTTCTTCCAAGAGTCTTGATCATCCAGGTGCTTTTTTACAAACTTGAGTCAACTTTTTGGACGAGATGTGTCCCATTATGCCTGGCGAAAACCAAACACTGCATTCCACAGTAAGAACATCATACCAAAGGTCAAGCATGGTGGTGGTGGTGTGATGGTTTTGGGATGCTTTGCTGCCTCAGGACCTGGACGACTTGCCTTAATAGAAGGAACCATGAATTCTACAGGAGAATGTCAGACCATCCGTCTGTGAGCTGAAGCTGAAGCGCAGCTGGGTCATGCAGCAAGACAATGATCCAAAACACACAATCAAGTCTACATGAAAATTGCTAAAAAAGCAACAAATTGGAAGTTTTGGAATGGCCTAGTCAAAGTCCAGACCTAATGTTGTGGCAGGACTTGAAACGAGCAGTTCATGCTTGAAAACCCACACGTCACTGAGTTAAAGCAGTTCTGCATGGAAGGAGTGGGCCAAAATTCCTCCACAGCGACGTGAGAGACTGATCAACAACTATAGGAAGCATTCTGTTGGAGTCATTACAGCTAAATGTGCCACAACCAGTTATTGAGTGTAAGGGGACAATTACTTTTTCACACAGGGAATTGGGTTTTGCGTAACTTTGTTTATGAAATAAATGAAATAAATATGTAATTGTTGTGTTATTTGTCCACTTATGTTCCCTTTATCTAATATTAGGTTTTGGTTGAAGATCTGATAACATTCAGTATCACAAATATGCGAAAGTAGAGAAAATTAGAAAGGGGGCAAATACTTTTTCATAGCACTGTATCTTCTGCTTGGATAGTTCCATCTGTGCCACTTACTTATTCTGACTTTAATTCCAGTTTGTCTACAAATTAATCATTGATATGTTGGATTCACGTATCCATCTCATCCAAAGAACAGGACTCAATCAAATCAAACTTTATAATATACGACAATTACTTGAAACAATTGAACATTATGAAACATCAAAGATACCAAGCCTGGTCTTCATAGCAGATTTTGAAAAGGTGTTTGATAAAGTACGATTGGAATTAATATATAAATGCCTGGATTACTTTAATTTCGGTGAATCTCTTATACAATGGGTTAAAGTTATGTACAGCATCCCCAGATGTAAAATAGTAAATAATGGTTACTTCTCAGAAAGTATTGAGCTTTTAAGAGGAGTAAAACAAGGCTGTCCGTTGTCTCCATATCTATTTATTATGGCCATTGAAATGCTAGCTATTAAAATTAGATCCAACAAGAACATCAAGGGGTTTGAAATCCAGGGGATAAAAACAAAAGTGTCAATGTACAGTGGGGAAAAAAGTATTTAGTCAGCCACCAATTGTGCATGTTCTCCCACTTAAAAAGATGAGAGAGGCCTGTAATTTTCATCATAGGTACACGTCAACTATGACAGACAAATTGAGAAAAGAAAATCCAGAAAATCACATTTTAGGATTTCTAATGAATTTATTTGCAAATTATGGTGGAAAATAAGTATTTGGTCAATAACAAAAGTTTCTCAATACTTTGTTATATACCCTTTGTTGGCAATGACACAGGTCAAACGTTTTCTGTAAGTCTTCACAAGGTTTTCACACACTGTTGCTGGTATTTTGGCCCATTCCTCCATGCAGATCTCCTCTAGAGCAGTGATGTTTTGGGGCTGTCGCTGGGCAACACAGACTTTCAACTCCCTCCAAAGATTTTCTATGGGGTTGAGATCTGGAGACTGGCTAGGCCACTCCAGGACCTTGAAATGCTTCTTACGAAGCCACTCCTTCGTTGCCCGGGCGGTGTGTTTGGGATCATTGTCATGCTGAAGACCCAGCCACGTTTCATCTTCAATGCCCTTGCTGATGGAAGGAGGTTTTCACTCAAAATCTCACGATACATGGCCCCATTCATTCTTTCCTTTACACGGATCAGTCATCCTGGTCCCTTTGCAGAAAAACAGCCCCAAAGCATGATGTTTCCACCCCCATGCTTCACAGTAGGTATGGTGTTCTTTGGATGCAACTCAGCATTCTTTGTCCTCCAAACATGACGAGTTGAGTTTTTACCAAAAAGCTATTTTGGTTTCATCTGACCATATGACATTCTCCCAATCCTCTTCTGGATCATCCAAATGCACTCTAGCAAACTTCAGACGGGCCTGGACATGTACTGGCTTAAGCAGGGGGACACG